CCAGTCTGCAGGGCTGCCAGAGAAATTTAGGGAGTCCAAACCTGTTTTGTTTAGCGTGAAAGGAGCGAGGCTGTTCAAAAGCCGAAACGGGAGCGCACCACCCGCATCCTGCATGACCGGAAAGGGGCAGGATGCACCGCTCGGCAGCAGCCCCTCCGTGAGGGCAGCCAGAGCTTTTGTCTTCTCCTGTATCCAGGAGTTATGGAGCTCAGAGACAAGGTTTAATTTCGACAGGAGACTCAGAGAAAACTGCAAAGACTGGATGATGCACGACAGCTCCTTGGCAAAGCGTTCGCTGCTGTTCTTGTAGGCAATATCAAACTCCGGAGACAGCTTCAGGTTCATTATGGCAAGTTGAAACATTTTTGTAAAGGTTTCATTGGGCATTGTTCCGTTCTCCACATCCATGGAAGCAAAGAGGGGCTCGCAGGGGCTCCTGGCTAAGGACTCACTCAGGGTGGCATTTTCAAACAGCATCTGAAGTGTTATGTGGAGAATGTCTCGAGCAGAGCAGTTCTGGGGCGTCTCGTGATCGCTGTCGCTATCCCTGAGGAAAGGGCTCAAGGCTAAATGCAGAAAGTCCCCAATTTTTGCCTCTAATGAAGTATTGTGCCGTAAGGAAGACTCACGGAACTCCTCCAGTAGAAGATGTGTTAAATTATAGACAGGGTTAAATTTTCCTTCACTGGAAGTTTCACTTGCAGCTGTATAATGAAGGATTTTCATCCCTATCCTCAGTAGTTCAGATAAGCTCTCAAAGGTTTGATTGTCAAAATTAAAGAACAGATCTATAGATTTTAATTTACTGACATTATAACGCAGCTGTAAGTCTTTTAATACATACAAGGTCTTCTGTATGGCTTGAGTGACCAGTGAGATATTGGCTACTTCAGAGTTTTCTCCATCAAACTCTTTAAAAACAGCTGTTACAAATTCTGACAGTTGATCCATTTGTTCACTGAAGAAACTATTTGAATTACTATTCACTTTATGTAAATGGCCGTTTAATACATCTAAAAATTGCCCATAAGCTATGATGCCTGTGATATTCCACTTCATTGATCTCAGCTTTTCCCCAACGCGCCAGTAGATATTCAACTCATCCCACCGGGCTTCACCCACGGAGCTTTGTACTTTCTGCATCAGTTCAAACACAGGCATCAGTAGGTACTGATAACCTATGTTCGTATTTGTCATTATAAAAAATATTTTCTGGAGAGCTAGGAGCTGGTCTGGAAAGTTTTTGTAGGACACAGGTTTAAGCAAATAGTCAGAAAACAAAGATGGTATTTCTCGTATTTCATCTAAATGGGCTCTTAAGTCTCCCAGAAATGGTGGCATGTTAGCGGAGAGTAACATTTTGAGAATATCCTTAGTTTGCTCTGTGTTAAAATTAGAATTATTTAACAAATCTGGATTCCAAATCACTGCAGCTAATTTTAAAGCTGTCTGAATTTCGTTCCACTGGGTCACTGTACTGAAAATGGAAGTCCCATTAAAGTCATTCTGCAATTGTAGCGACGTGAAGTTATAGATTTCATCAATTATTTCCTTATTATATGGTTCCTTTAATTTATAATCACGATGTGGATACATTCCCAGTTCAAGAATTGCATACAATTTCTGTAATGTTTCATTCTTGAAATTTCTGAATAGATTTAAGCTTTTTAATTCACTTCTATTCATTTTTTTCTCAAAGCCTTTTAAATGATACAGAGACTTTTGTATGGCTTCTAAATCATATGAATTAATGGACCTCTTGGAGTCTTTTCCACCGATCTCTGGTAACTTTAATTTTCTGGGGAAAAAAAAGCATTTTAGAAAATACGAAATCAGCGCAAGTGATTTAGAGCAAAGATCATAGAGCTGAATTATACTCTTATTAGTATCCCTTCAGGCAGTGTCTTACCTCAGAACTTCCTCCAAGTCAGATACTAAAGTCTGGTTGTCGTTCCAGTTAACAAAGAGATTACAAATATCGCTGGTCACCAAACTTTTTCCCTTATCTATAAGAAATATATAAAGAAGATAGGAGTATCAGTTGGGAAACCAAAAAGAAACGACATGGCAAAACTGTCAATGAAAACATGCATGTCTGAAGTTAGGCTCCTACGACGGGACAGAAGGCCACGGTTAGAAACTTGACTGCTCCTTTGGAGTGTAACTCTCCATGGCCTTCAGTAGGAAGTCAGGATGCTACTTGTTGCTGTAGAAATGATTTTGCATCCCAGGAACAGCTCAGTGTCTCTACAATCTGGGTGCTAATGGAGGTCGTCTTCTGCTTTAGGGTCACCTTGCTATCAGTAACACAGCACAAACTGATCTAATGTGTTATGCAATTTGTGTTTCTTTCCCTTCATAGGTCTGCTTTCTTACCACCTGCACCTGGGCTTTGCAGCATCGTCCACCATCCCTCTCCTACAGCTTTTTACACTCATCTTGATATCCGCACATGTCCAGTCCTCTCACTAGCCACATCTGCACGTTCTCCCTCCTTACACTGTATCCATCTGCTTCCTTCTTATCAACACCAGCCTCCACAACCTCTACTGAACTACAAGTAGAGAACGGATGGCATTTACCAATCTGTCCCGTACTGTCTTTACACGCTGTACTTTTGCAGTAGAGGTGGATGTCTAGGGTCATGCCTTTGCTGTAGACTGACAGGGATTTAACAGAATAGCTAATCTTGATATATGCAGCCTGTTGTGCAGCCTCAGCCCCCTACTTGTGAGGCAGCCAGGTGAATTTGACAGAACTCACAACTGGAGGCTGATTTTTACAAAAAATCTGAAGATAAAAATTATCACTCCCCATTTCCACTGAGACTGCAACTCACATTAACTCATTGTGTAGTGACAAAACCATGCTTTTTTATTTCTCCATTTGAAATGACGTGTTTTATTCACGTCTGTTAAAATTTTAAAGGAAAATTACATACAGCCCTGCACAGTATGCAATCAGTATGGTTACTTATTAGTTTGCAGTTTGCTTGTCCTCAGCCCCACAGGTTTTGCAAAACAGATATGACTATGTGGAGGAATCTTACCTTGCTTGGAGCAGTTCAGGGAAAACAGAGAATCTGTAACCCCGTTTTGAACAGTTCTGAATCTATCTTCAGTCACAAATGATGCAGAGACATTTTGAGCTGCCAACACAACACTAAAGGGGAAAAAAACAGTGATGAAAATAAATTGTGGCTCTGGTTTATGAGAAGAAATAAAACAAGTGTTCAAATTGGAAACAGCTGGAGTACAGCCTATCATTCTTAAAATGTCTGACAGACAAGACATTACCCCTACTCTTAATTATTTGTTTGATCGTGCACAAACACAAATACAAAGAGCTCTGAAGGAAAGCCATGGTGGTAATATTGGCAGAAATGTACATGCTGTACTCATGTAACGTAGTTACTCAAAGGTTCATGCAAAACTTGTGCGCCACTTAAAACCTCACAACGGGGCTTAGAAAACAGTCGAGTGATGTGCCATCCTCGTGATTCACTGCTGGGGCCGAATCTCCTCCTAAAAGAAACCAAGCAGCAGAGAAGACAAGGCTCCAGGGAGGGCAGGGATCCCTAGGAGACAAGATCTGTGGATGGAAGAAGCAATCACAAATAACCGTTACCATTTCAGATTCTCCTTCTCTCCTTTTTTGTCACGTAATAACCAGGCTGACAGGGAGGCAAGGGATGTTTTTCAATCTTAGAAAAGAACAAGCTGATTATCTGGCGTACTGTATCACAGAGGAAGTCATTTAGAAGAATGTCTGTTCAGTATATGCAGGTTATTGAAAACTTCACAACGATTATTGGTCCCTTTTGCTTCTCCTAAATAAAGAGTAGCTCTGCACTGTAGATATAGGGTCACCGTGAAATGCACAGTCTCTCGCCTGCCTGAAGTTCTGCAGGTGATACACAAAGCACCCAGCTCAGCTGATTTCAGCAGCATGAATAAACACATAGTGATTTGTGGGAACAGACCACCAGTGAGAACGTCTGCATTAACCAACGTGAAAAATGATAGATAATGTTCATTTTTCCTTCAAGTGTTTTGTTTAAGTTGGTATCATGAAGGATTTTCATTCCTATTCTCCATATTTCAAACAGTCTCTGAGTATATTTACTATAAAAATTAAATAATAGATCGATAGTTTCGAGCTCACTGATGTTATAACTTTTCTGTAAATCTTTGAGAAAGAATATACTCCTCTGTATGTGTATGGCTTGTGAATATAAGGAGATGTTGGCTCCCCTAGAGTCTTCTTCACCATACACCTCAAATATGGCAGACAAAAAGCTTATCAGCTGCTTCATCTCCTTACGGAAAGGAAGACTGGAATCATTTTTCATGGTTTTAAACTGATTTTGCAGAATGTCTAGAAGTGATTCGGAAGTGAGACTGTCCATCCTGCCCCAGTTTACGGACTGGAGTATTTCAGCAATCTGCCAGAAATGAAGAAGTTCACTCCCCTGGCTTCTGTGAGGAGAACTCTGGAGTCTCTGCATTAATTTAGACAAAGAAGAGATCAGCAGATAATGATCACTGGTGTTCACCTTTGCCACGGCAGCAAGAAGCTGCTCAAGGGCCATGAGCTTTTCTGCAAAGTTTTCAGAAGTTATGGGGGTCACCAAGAAATCAGAAAATAATGATGACACTTCTTCCTTTGTGCTGAGATAATTTTCCATGTCTTCAAGCAGGACAGCATGAAGCGCTATCATTTTGATAACCTCCCATGCTTTCTCTGTATTAAAATGAGTCTTATTTAAAATGATCTGATTCCAAATCACTGCAGCCATACTTAGAACATCTTGACTTTCTTTCCCGTAGGGATTAGGATAGAATAATCTTTCACCAGCAACCTTATAGAGCGGGGCAATTTCTTGAAATATTCTTTCTAAGTCCACTGTGTTGTTTGCAGCAGAAGTTAAATTGAAAAAGGGTATTAACGAACTATACAAATCCTTCAGATCTGACAACTTCATTCCTTCACTAGTGTTACGAAGGATCTGATATACTTCTGTTTTTCTGGGAGCTACCCCAATGTCCACAAGAATTAGAGCTTTATTCATAATTTCCAGGAGTTTCACATATTCATCCACTTCTGTCAAGTTCCACTTGGTGGTCAACACATTGCCAGTGGCGTTCCACAGCCGTGCGAAATGTCCCCATTCAGACTGGTTGGAAGCACTTCCATCCATCTGTAGCAGTTCATATATACTACTGTTCCAAATGGAAAAAGTCGGTAACAGATGGGAAAACAGAGGCAGCCTACGCCAGTCTGCAGGGCTGCCAGAGAAATTTAGGGAGTCCAAACCTGTTTTGTTTAGCGTGAAAGGAGCGAGGCTGTTCAAAAGCCGAAACGGGAGCGCACCACCCGCATCCTGCATGACCGGAAAGGGGCAGGATGCACCGCTCGGCAGCAGCCCCTCCGTGAGGGCAGCCAGAGCTTTTGTCTTCTCCTGTATCCAGGAGTTATGGAGCTCAGAGACAAGGTTTAATTCCGACAGGAGACTCAGAGAAAACTGCAAAGACTGGATGATGCACGACAGCTCCTTGGCAAAGCGTTCGCTGCTGTTCTTGTAGGCAATATCAAACTCCGGAGACAGCTTCAGGTTCATTATGGCAAGTTGAAACATTTTTGTAAAGGTTTCATTGGGCATTGTTCCGTTCTCCACATCCATGGAAGCAAAGAGGGGCTCGCAGGGGCTCCTGGCTAAGGACTCACTCAGGGTGGCATTTTCAAACAGCATCTGAAGTGTTATGTGGAGAATGTCTCGAGCAGAGCAGTTCTGGGGCGTCTCGTGATCGCTGTCGCTATCCCTGAGGAAAGGGCTCAAGGCTAAATGCAGAAAGTCCCCAATTTTTGCCTCTAATGAAGTATTGTGCCGTAAGGAAGACTCACGGAACTCCTCCAGTAGAAGATGTGTTAAATTATAGACAGGGTTAAATTTTCCTTCACTGGAAGTTTCACTTGCAGCTGTATAATGAAGGATTTTCATCCCTATCCTCAGTAGTTCAGATAAGCTCTCAAAGGTTTGATTGTCAAAATTAAAGAACAGATCTATAGATTTTAATTTACTGACATTATAACGCAGCTGTAAGTCTTTTAATACATACAAGGTCTTCTGTATGGCTTGAGTGACCAGTGAGATATTGGCTACTTCAGAGTTTTCTCCATCAAACTCTTTAAAAACAGCTGTTACAAATTCTGACAGTTGATCCATTTGTTCACTGAAGAAACTATTTGAATTACTATTCACTTTATGTAAATGGCCGTTTAATACATCTAAAAATTGCCCATAAGCTATGATGCCTGTGATATTCCACTTCATTGATCTCAGCTTTTCCCCAACGCGCCAGTAGATATTCAGCTCGTCCCACCGGGCTTCACCCACGGAGCTTTGTACTTTCTGCATCAGTTCAAACACAGGCATCAGTAGGTACTGATAACCTATGTTCGTATTTGTCATTATAAAAAATATTTTCTGGAGAGCTAGGAGCTGGTCTGGAAAGTTTTTGTAGGACACAGGTTTAAGCAAATAGTCAGAAAACAAAGATGGTATTTCTCGTATTTCATCTAAATGGGCTCTTAAGTCTCCCAGAAATGGTGGCATGTTAGCGGAGAGTAACATTTTGAGAATATCCTTAGTTTGCTCTGTGTTAAAATTAGAATTATTTAACAAATCTGGATTCCAAATCACTGCAGCTAATTTTAAAGCTGTCTGAATTTCGTTCCACTGGGTCACTGTACTGAAAATGGAAGTCCCATTAAAGTCATTCTGCAATTGTAGCGACGTGAAGTTATAGATTTCATCAATTATTTCCTTATTATATGGTTCCTTTAATTTATAATCACGATGTGGATACATTCCCAGTTCAAGAATTGCATACAATTTCTGTAATGTTTCATTCTTGAAATTTCTGAATAGATTTAAGCTTTTTAATTCACTTCTATTCATTTTTTTCTCAAAGCCTTTTAAATGATACAGAGACTTTTGTATGGCTTCTAAATCATATGAATTAATGGACCTCTTGGAGTCTTTTCCACCGATCTCTGGTAACTTTAATTTTCTGGGGAAAAAAAAGCATTTTAGAAAATACGAAATCAGCGCAAGTGATTTAGAGCAAAGATCATAGAGCTGAATTATACTCTTATTAGTATCCCTTCAGGCAGTGTCTTACCTCAGAACTTCCTCCAAGTCAGATACTAAAGTCTGGTTGTCGTTCCAGTTAACAAAGAGATTACAAATATCGCTGGTCACCAAACTTTTTCCCTTATCTATAAGAAATATATAAAGAAGATAGGAGTATCAGTTGGGAAACCAAAAAGAAACGACATGGCAAAACTGTCAATGAAAACATGCATGTCTGAAGTTAGGCTCCTACGACGGGACAGAAGGCCACGGTTAGAAACTTGACTGCTCCTTTGGAGTGTAACTCTCCATGGCCTTCAGTAGGAAGTCAGGATGCTACTTGTTGCTGTAGAAATGATTTTGCATCCCAGGAACAGCTCAGTGTCTCTACAATCCGGGTGCTAACGGAGGTCTTCTTCTGCTTTAGGGTCACCTTGCTATCAGTAACACAGCACAAACTGATCTAATGTGTTATGCAATTTGTGTTTCTTTCCCTTCATAGGTCTGCTTTCTTACCACCTGCACCTGGGCTTTGCAGCATCGTCCACCATCCCTCTCCTACAGCTTTTTACACTCATCTTGATATCCGCACATGTCCAGTCCTCTCACTAGCCACATCTGCACGTTCTCCCTCCTTACACTGTATCCATCTGCTTCCTTCTTATCAACACCAGCCTCCACAACCTCTACTGAACTACAAGTAGAGAACGGATGGCATTTACCAATCTGTCCCGTACTGTCTTTACACGCTGTACTTTTGCAGTAGAGGTGGATGTCTAGGGTCATGCCTTTGCTGTAGACTGACAGGGATTTAACAGAATAGCTAATCTTGATATATGCAGCCTGTTGTGCAGCCTCAGCCCCCTACTTGTGAGGCAGCCAGGTGAATTTGACAGAACTCACAACTGGAGGCTGATTTTTACAAAAAATCTGAAGATAAAAATTATCACTCCCCATTTCCACTGAGACTGCAACTCACATTAACTCATTGTGTAGTGACAAAACCATGCTTTTTTATTTCTCCATTTGAAATGACGTGTTTTATTCACGTCTGTTAAAATTTTAAAGGAAAATTACATACAGCCCTGCACAGTATGCAATCAGTATGGTTACTTATTAGTTTGCAGTTTGCTTGTCCTCAGCCCCACAGGTTTTGCAAAACAGATATGACTATGTGGAGGAATCTTACCTTGCTTGGAGCAGTTCAGGGAAAACAGAGAATCTGTAACCCCGTTTTGAACAGTTCTGAATCTATCTTCAGTCACAAATGATGCAGAGACATTTTGAGCTGCCAACACAACACTAAAGGGGAAAAAAACAGTGATGAAAATAAATTGTGGCTCTGGTTTATGAGAAGAAATAAAACAAGTGTTCAAATTGGAAACAGCTGGAGTACAGCCTATCATTCTTAAAATGTCTGACAGACAAGACATTACCCCTACTCTTAATTATTTGTTTGATCGTGCACAAACACAAATACAAAGAGCTCTGAAGGAAAGCCATGGTGGTAATATTGGCAGAAATGTACATGCTGTACTCATGTAACGTAGTTACTCAAAGGTTCATGCAAAACTTGTGCGCCACTTAAAACCTCACAACGGGGCTTAGAAAACAGTCGAGTGATGTGCCATCCTCGTGATTCACTGCTGGGGCCGAATCTCCTCCTAAAAGAAACCAAGCAGCAGAGAAGACAAGGCTCCAGGGAGGGCAGGGATCCCTAGGAGACAAGATCTGTGGATGGAAGAAGCAATCACAAATAACCGTTACCATTTCAGATTCTCCTTCTCTCCTTTTTTGTCACGTAATAACCAGGCTGACAGGGAGGCAAGGGATGTTTTTCAATCTTAGAAAAGAACAAGCTGATTATCTGGCGTACTGTATCACAGAGGAAGTCATTTAGAAGAATGTCTGTTCAGTATATGCAGGTTATTGAAAACTTCACAACGATTATTGGTCCCTTTTGCTTCTCCTAAATAAAGAGTAGCTCTGCACTGTAGATATAGGGTCACCGTGAAATGCACAGTCTCTCGCCTGCCTGAAGTTCTGCAGGTGATACACAAAGCACCCAGCTCAGCTGATTTCAGCAGCATGAATAAACACATAGTGATTTGTGGGAACAGACCACCAGTGAGAACTAGGGATCTCTTTTCTCCACATTTAATATAATGTCTCCATGCAGGTTTTGTGGACTCGGTGCTCACCACTTTCATTCTGCAGAGGTGCTTGACAGCAAGAGTCTCCGAGGGGGAAGAAGCTGCCGTTACAAACCATACACGTTTAGCTAAGCAATGGCACAAGTAAAGAGGAGGGAGGCACAGGCTTGCCAGAAGTGGATGCAAATTATACAGACTAGAAGGCAGCAAACATGGGAACAAGCGTTGCTGTTGCCCTTCTATTTCAGTCTCTCTAGGACTTTTGCAGATACGTGCTTTAGAGAAGTAGTCCAGCTGACAAGCTTATCAGGAAAATTATTCTCAGGCAACTAACAACAGCATTTGTGAATTCTGTCTGTAAATCAGGCTTGCATGAGTAATAAAATTTGTTCCTAAACTTTCTGTAGAAGTCACGCCTCTGAAATCACTATTGCACCACGGTGTTGCCACTTATCATGTGGTTAATATGGATGTCACAATGAGCAAAAGTTCTTTCTTCCGCATCTTCATTTTTTTACTACAAAAAATTCCCTCTGCAGTATTTCTTTAAGAGGTCAGTACCGTCTGTGTAGAAGAAACGGCCAAGCTAGCTAAGACGTAATTTTGTAAGCATTATCAAAAATACTATTTGTCCAATCTCTTTGCAGTAACTGTTTACTCATGCGTTTACACTGCCACATGCTAGGCAAAAAAGCACTGCAGTTCATCATTCTGGTGATGAAATTCTCTGTGGCTATTTGTTGTGCCTATTGTAACTTGCCCAGCTGAAGAGTAAAGCAGAGCAGCAGAGCAAATATTAATTCTTCATGGGCACTCAAACAGCGTGGTTCTTCAGGCTCGATTCTGCAAGCCAGTAAATGTGGACAAATGCAATAAACCTGTGACTGAAATGGTGGAAAGGACAAAACATCTCTGAATAAAATTAAAATTCTTGCCACACTGATACTTACGGCTTTAAGGATAAGAACCTCAGGTCTCACAAATACTTTTCTCAGTGCAGGATGGCAAATTACCTAGATACTAATGGTATGAGTTTTAAAGTGCCTTTGCAACGTGCCAGTGACGAAAGGTAAGTCCCTCCAAGCCTAGCTGTAATCAGAGCGGCAAAGTTTCTACAACCGCTTCTTGCATCTTTGTCCAACTGTCCAGGGCATGTTAAGCCCTTCTTTTATCCAAAAAAAGTGTAAAAAAAAACCCCAAAAAACCCCTCAGCTGAGCCTGGTTTCCTCCATGTGTTGTAACAAGTGGACTATCCAGAATAATTTCCAGCAGTTTCAATCACAGAGTCAAAAGATGATTCAGGGCAGATTCACCCAATCTGCTACGTAACTCAAGTCTTTTAGAGAACAGTGAGACTTTAACCCAACTATAGACTAAGAAAGGGAGTTCAGGGCTAAGCCCCTCTAGAAGAGTTTTCATTGTCCTAGCTGCAGACAGCATCAAATATTTCAGCGCAGTTAAATAATACAGTTTACAGAGCTCAGTCATTTTTTCATATAATCATTGAACAAGAACATAACTGGTATTTTCTTCTCCTTAGCCACATACATTCAAAGCCACACATATTCATATGCTAAGAGCCAGAGTCCCTCTCTTCTCTGCTTTCTTGGGATGAATTTAGAAGGACAAAACAGCTGTAAACCAGGTAACCACTTTCTTTTAAAGTGAATTTCTGGCTCCCCTACAAATGCTTGAGTTGTTCAAAGTAACTTGAATTTGGCTCTAAGGTTTTCTGGAAAGAAGTAGCCAGCTGCTGTCTTTTGGCAGAACAACTATCCAGCAAGGAGGCCTTTTCTTCAACCAAAGACAAGGGCTGTTGCCCACCAGCCTCTCAGTCTGCACATACGCATGACAGTGCCTCAAAGCAGCCTTGAAGACAACTAGAGGTTGACAGCCAAAATCCCTTTTTAAAAGTGATGAAAGAGTCACTGAAAGACAAAACACTGCTCATTGTAGAGACCTTCGGACATACATTAGCACGGAGCCATACTACCCGACAAAAACAAGTCATGCCGTGAAGCAAACGCTCTTTCTGCTGATGAGAGGTGACCTGTCTTCAGTGTTCAACAGGCAAACTCACCAGGCTTTCAGTGCCCCTCCTGGCATTTTCTGCCTTCTTACCTGCTTGCATTCTGAAGGTAATCAAATATGTCTTGCAACTGCATGCTGCCCTGAAACACATCTGGAGCCAGCAAAAGAAGATGCCACAAAGAGGTGTCATTCTGCACTTGAGAGATGAGCAACAGAAACGAGACCATTTCATTGACAAACACTGCCTGGTATCGTGGGTTGAGTCGCACCTTAAAAAAGAACAATGCAATAAATTATTTAAACATAAGAGCCCTTGTTGCCAGTGAGTCTTTCCAGGTTTTTCAGCCCGCAGTGCAATCGTACACAATCTGACAAACAACAGGTTCAAAGGACTTCAGAGGCAGACAATAATGGATGAGCAATGGTGCTTTACCTTCACATGGGAGATGACTGTAAAATAAACTCTTTGTATACACAAGCCCTAGGATTCTGAACATCCCAAGTAGTTTAAAGACTGTGAATATAAGAACAATGAGTACCAGTCCTCATCCTGACAAGAAAGGAGGCGTTACTTACTTTTAAAGGATCCATTGCTTTAATTATATAGCTTTCCCAAAGATAAGTATTGCTTCAGTCGTGAGCTGCTGGCTCAGATGCAGGAGTTATTGGATCAAGTTATATATGGCTGATGTAATACGGGAAGAAATTTATTGCCTCTCCTAGCTTTACATATTCTTATTTATGCCATGTTCTCACACTGTTCTACCTACCTGTCACTGCAGGAAGGCAAATAAAGGAGAGAAACAAAATCTAGGCATGGTGAGGAACTCTCAATGGACACTAGCTGATGTCTTGCTGTCCTTGACTTTCCTCAAGAGCTGTTTGCTCAACTCTAAGGTGTTTGGGCTAATCCCATTCATGAGAATTAGCTCAGCCTCATCCTGCACCACAAGCACTATGGTGTAGAAACGAGCTATTCCTAGCGGTGTCACGTTCTACCTCCAAAAGTCTGCAATAAGGTGTGGGAACTATCACAGCTAATATCTGCAGATGTTAGGAAAGATGCCAGACACTCACCTGAGAGAGCTGATTTTTGAACTCTTGGGTAAATGACTCTAAAAGAGACAAGTCAGTAAAGCAGAAAGTCCTGTGGATGCTGGCTGCCATCTTCCCCTCAGTGAGACCAGGACGTGCTGTATAGCGTGACAAGATCTCACACAGAATGACTTTGAGATTTGCTGCAGTTGAGTACTGTGTCTGACTCTAAAAGTAAGACATAATGTTAGACAACAGCTTTAAAGCAACACTCTATCTTATATGGACAGTGATGAGACATTTTTAAGGGACAGTAGTGACATCTGAAAAGCACCACCCCTACAAGTACCTATTCACTTACAGAATTTTAAGAGGTAAACAATGTCACTGAAATCTCTGAAATGCTTCATGTATAAAGAGAAACGTGCATAAAACTGTTTGGAGGCATTAATATGAACACAGAAGCACATTTCAGAGATCTGTTAATCTACCCATTAGTGGCAGACAATGTTCCTAGCATAGAGGTGTCCATTAAATATTTGGTTCCTGCTTAGAGAATAACAAATCTATCATGACGCTTAAAAGCCCACCTACAATAATGGTCTTCCTCTGCCCAAAATAAAGCACAGGCAAATAAGAGGGGAGATCCTAATGCCATAAAAGCTGTATGTTGGTACTCTGGGCTTTTTAACGCTTTAAACGTGACGATACATAAATGCTCCGATATAACTCTTATGCAAATTCAGACATTACCTTTCCAAAACTGAGCGTTCTGTTGAACACGTTGATGCTGGAAGTCGAGTTGGTTGGCAATGAAATATTCCAAAGGGTGCTTTCTCCATGAGATACCAAATCCCCAAATGCTGCAATAATAACAGTTTGAAACACTAGGTTTTACTTAATGTCTTTTAACCTCTTTGCTGCATAATACCAGTACACAGGATAGCTAACTGACTACAGCTTTGGGTATGCCATCGTTAACCTGTCTCCAAAGGTACAGCCAACAACATCCCGTGATTACGTACTTAAGGTTTTCTTCTCATGTAATCACATCCTGGATTACACTATTTCCTTCTGTAACTTTTTAAAATAAGTGCATTTAACTATTTGCTTGCAGGTAAACATTAATTTCTCCAGTCCTGCAGCTCCTCCGTGCAGGGAGAGACATTGGCAGTCTTGCAAGGAAGCCCACATCAGCTCGAGTCGATAACCCTGCAAGGGAGAGCTCTCTAGGCATCCTTGGAACCGTTGGCTGGTACCCGTTATTCAGAAACGGCTCCAACACAGACTTGGAGCGCTGCTGCCTGCTATGTACAGAGGCAACACTGCCAGGTCCCCAGCTGACACACACCAAAGCCAACATTTGCACTGAGACACACTCTTATAACAACCCAGCTCACTGAATCCAAAGGAGCTATGACAGTTTGCGCCAACTGAGGCTATGACTTTTTTTTTTTTTTTAAATAAGATGCATAGTTCTGAGTTCCTTCCTGACCATCCATGTCCATGAAAATGAGCAAAAAAGTCATTCTGCAAAAGTTGTTCACTGATTACTTTTTTCATTCCTCTGCTTTGAGTCCTTTCATGTGCTGTCTTTCTCTGCCCAAACACCGAAGAGTGACTGCACTG